TGAAATTATCAAATTTGAAGGTAGATGGAAGATTTTGTATGCAATTTAAGATAGGGACATGATATTTGCACTCCACTTGGAACTTTTTAATAGGCTAATGACAAAATCACCCCTCAGAAAAGGGAGTATACAACAATGTTTTGAGTAATGGTAGCTTTTGTGTGTGTTTTTGATAGGTAACTATATCATTTCATTTTTTAAAGAAAGTATGTGGAGTTCAAGTGAATAGCAGTAGAGTTTTAAGTGAAAGCTTTAGACACCTTCAATCGGTATGTAAATGAATATTTTAGTTCGTATAGTACCTGTTTTGACGATGTCATAAGCATGATAAACTATCAAGAGCCTCAGGATGTATTATTTAGTTCACCCATCCATTAGTTAAACATAATTATGTAGTTGAACTTGTTGGTTCGCTGATCCTATATCTAGATATGATAAATAACCAATATAGCTGTCGTGAATTAAATGTTTGGTTGATTTTAATAGTTCAATACACGAGATGATGAGATGTAAGAGATGTGTTCATAGATTTCCTTGTTCATGGTGCATGGTTATCTCATCGTATATGCTTTTCTGTCATTGACCTTCTTTGGCTTCCTTAGCCATTTTAAATAACATTGATTTGCAATAACCTGCTGTATCTGCTCTTGCAGTGAAATTATTTTTGATTGGGACTTGTATTGAAATGGTTATCCGCTAGTTGAAATTGAATAAAAGCTATATGGATTCACAAACTACATCTAGAAAGGGTTAAATATATATCTTTTCAATTTATTGTTTACCAATTAAAACAGAATTATTAAATCAGTCATATGTAAAGAAATGAATAATAAATCATGCAATAACAAGCAGGCACCTTTTTTTTATGCGGAAAACCTTTCCATGTAAAAACCAAGATATCTCGTCTAGAGTTGGATCCATTATAAGAAAAAGTATGTTTACAAGTTACACTGTATTATTCAGTGATTCGGAATCTAATCTACAAATCTTCTGCCACTGAACTATGTCCTTATGTCCTCACAAGTCATATACTTGAACTCTTAAGCTACAAAAAGCACGAAGAATTAATGTCATGGCTGTTATTCTTCTTATGAAATCACCATGGAGCTCCAACTGAGATTGCCTCACATGATAAATTGCTAATATGCCGTGATTAGTTAGCTTAATATATATGTCTCTGGTTCTCTGTCTGTTCTTTGTGTTCTCTTGTATTGTTCCTGCTATCTTGCTTGTGAATGAATCCTACTTTTATATGATTTCAGTTCAGAGTTAACTGGAAGCCTTAGAAATCCAATCCAAATAAAAAAACAAAGAAAATTTTGGCACTGATCAAAGGTGGATGGACAACTCTTAAATAGCTCATAGAAAAACTTTAGGCAATTATTTTAACTGGTCCAGCATTTACTGGGCAGACCTGGACCTATTATCTTTGACCTCGGTCAGTCGAGTGGCTGCTAGACCACCTTGGACGCTTTAACCCTTGAATTTGGTTGGTCCAAGATTTCATCTAGATGTGGGGATCCGCCAAAATTTGTGATTGTTTCACCTTCTATTTTTACATTCAAGTTTCCATATCCAATACCACATCTGTTTATAGAAAATCTAAGTCCAATTAGGTATATATCAGGCCAACTAATCTAGTAAAATTAATCTTCAAACCTAAGCTATTTAAGTCACTTATCAGTTATCATTGCATATAATTTGTGATCAATTTACTAGAATAATCTTGTTAATGTGAACTTTGCTCGGTATTCAATCTTCCATTTCATTCCGTCGATGAATCAGTCCTCGAAGTGACTCAACCCTATTAACCAAATTTGACATTTTTCTCTTGGAATGTGCCAGTGCACATCTACATATCTCTCACAATTTGGCATTTTCATAACAAGATACATAAGGAGCTATCTTATCTTAAATTACTCCACATTTAAAATGAATTCACAATATACAAAAGTGCAACATCTAGTCCATGGACTTCATTCTGGCTTTTATAATGTTTCCTAAATTCTTATATATGCACAACTTTACTTGTATATGATGAAACATAAATAACTAATGTAGTATAGTTCCAGAAGAAAGAAATAATTAACGGTAAGGTTTCGCTAAGTAGCCCTCAAAAGGGGAGTGCGTCCAAAGAACAACCAAGCCAATCATAGTCCATTACACACAAACTATCCACAAATTCCTCCTAAGATTTACAATTCCACCAAGCCCAAAAGAATAAAGAACTCAATATAACGTTTTAACATCCAAATAGGAATCTCCTCTCTATCAAAGGACCTCCTACTCTGCTCTCGCCACAATTAGGAACTATAAATGTGGAAATAATAAAAGAAAGGCAAGAAAAAGTTGAGCAATAAATCATAATCCTTGGAAAATATGAATTTCTCCTTTACTTTATTCCACTTCCCCTAAAGCCTACACTCTGAGTTAACAAAGGTTAAACATGAATAAAACTAAAAGAAATGAACAGGGATAATGTAAGCATGTGATACAGTAATGAATGAATGCAGCATATTTGAAATTGAAATAAAAGGTAAACCATTAACATTTATAGTTTAAGTACGACCACAACAAGGATAATAAATAATAACTGAAACGTAAATCTTAGAATATAAATTGCAAAATAAGAACATCTAAATAGCAAAAGTAGTGCATATAAAACCTGACTCTGGTTCATGTGTATATGTCATGTGTATACTGTAAAAATATAACTGTCAGCAATATCAACAACATAAAATTTTCTGCTCCAGATATGAGAGATCAATGATCATCACTTAATTTATATAATTAAATAGTTGATGATCATTATTGTTTCTTATTTTCCTTACCACTCAGGACATTGGTGTTTTTTTACTCGTAAAATAATTAAAAAACTGTTCATGCATTAAATTGATCAATTTAGAACTTTATCTTTGGGATCTTGGAAATTCGTATTATATTATTTGTAATTATCAGGTTCATGACTTTATGAGGCGGAGTTAAGAATTATTTTCTCTTTTATTTTCAGATAACTGAGCAGCTAAGGAGCCGTTTCTCTTATAGACTATCTCTACCTCAGATTTGTGAGAACTTAATGAAAGCAGCATATGATCCTCGTATTTCTGGTATCTATCTGCACATTGAACGCTTGAATTGTGGCTGGGGTAAAGTTGAGGAGATCAGAAGGCATATATTGGATTTTAAGAAATCAGGTAGCATAGTTATGTTTAGCATATTACTTGCAGTACTTGAAATTCTCTGATAAATTTTGCTCAAGTGGAACAAGCCAAATCTTCTCAGGGCTTATCAACAACTAAGGCTTGGATAAGCCTCTAGATCCTAAAAACAAAACTATAAATCCTTTACCACTACCATTCATACACATGATGCATGAATGGGTCTTTTTTTGTTTTTTTATTTTTGTTTTTGGTAACGAAGAATCAACCCACCTGCTAGCCACTTTGGACTTTTGGATAGTTTGCAAACTCCATATGCAGGCAACACTAGTAAACCATGTGCATCATTTAAACCCACCACCAGCCACCATTCATCCACATAATACATGAATGGGTCTTGGTCTCTTTTTCAGACTGTTTCTTGAGGGGATGCCCTCTGTGTTATTTGTACTTCCACTGTTTTATCAATAAATTTCCATCCATTTAGGGAAAAAAATATTTTTGTGCATGTTTGTGTGAAGGATTGGAGGTTGTGCATTTGCACCTACTCACCTCATATGTTTCAATATTTATGTGCAACCATACCACACTTTCTACTGAGCATATTTTGTAGTGAACTTGATGTTATTGTTTTCTCATGTTTCTTTCACATTCTTCTAATTCTGTTCAACCTCAATTAGTTTTGGTAATGCTGTATTGAACCGTCACATTTCTCATGTTTTTTTTGCACATTCTTCTATTTTTGCTCAAGCTCATTTATTATTATTATTATTATTTTGGCAAACAGCCTCTCCCATGCAGAGGTGAGGTTGTGTACATCTAAACCTCCCTAGACCCTGTAGTGGTGGAAGCCTCGTGCACAGGGTTAGCCCCTTTTTTAAAAAATAAAAAATAAAAAATAAAAAATAAAAAATGAAAGAGGTCAAGTTTCATTTGACGAGAGTTGAACTAGGGCCTAACCACTTATTGTTAAAAACACTCCAACTTGCAATTTTATACACCTTTTTTCACTTGAAAAACATCCAAAGGCCAAATCTTGCATCAAAAACATAAAAAACTTGAGATCCAAGCTCAAACATTGAAGCTTGGATGTCCAAAGTTCTAAATAATCGGTGGATTTCAAAATTATTTGACTTTCTTTGATTTTTTTGCTCAGATTTCACTTAAACAAATTTTTTTCCTAGTTCACTTAAACATTTTATTTCCTTGTAGACCTATGATAATAGCTCGTAGTTAATATTTCAAGTTTCCGAATTTGAAAAATTTGGCAGGTAAATACTTATCTTCGATGAAATATTATAAATGATAACTTAGTTTTAAAGAGCGTGCTATAAAGCTTTAATTTTCAAATTTATTATTTAAAATTTATTTTTACTTACAAATGATAATTTTTTTTTGTTGTGATATAAGTGTTACATATGTTACGACTTAGAATTCATGAAATTACTTGTTGTAAATGGTCTTCAATAAAAATAACTAAAATTCATTAAAACCCATTTTTATAGAAATATGTTGTTAAAAGTTGCATATTGGTGTGTTTTGGGCCCTATGCACGTGGTTGAAAAAAAATTCACTATCGCGATAACTGATTCCGTTACACTGTGTCTGCAACTGTGAACCATGGTTTTGGTGGCACCATTTTTTGGATATAGATATTGTCTTTTTAACTTCCTGAAAGCAGATAGCTTCTTGAAATGTTATGTAATATTGATATTCTTTGAGGTATTAGGGTGTTGATGTTGTTTTATGTTACTTTACTAAAGTGTTTTTTGTTGTTGTTGTTGTTGTTGTTGTAGAGGAGATTCTTTTTTGTTGATTGTCGACTTTGACTAGTCATGGTAATATGCTGGTAAATTCATTGTGGGTTATATCCCAGTATTTGGAGAGAAAGAGTATTACCTTGGCTGTGCTTGTGAAGAGCTTTATGCTCCTCCAAGTGCTTCTTTTTCTTTGCATGGTTTGACTGTCCAAGCATCTTTCCTTGGAGGTAAGTCAATTTTACTTGCTCTGGAACAGGTTTCATGTGCATTTGGCAGATCAGATATCTAGGGGCACAGAGTTATGATTAGTAGAAGAGCAATGATATGATGAGACGCTCTTACCACGAGCTCTTGCCTCATCTGTTTGGTCAAGTATTTGATGTCACGAAAAACTTGGTCAAATGGATGGCGAGCTGAAGTGAGACCGCCCTCATCATCATTTTCCTTGTTGAATTGTATGTGCAGGAATTTAGGAACATTTGGCTTGACTGCTGCATATTTAAATTACATGGAGGTGGATTTGTCATCTCCTCTTATTTCTATGTGGTGTTACTGCTGATTCCTGCATCCAGCACAATGTCTTCATTAGTTTAGAATTAGACAGGTGCAGCATAAGGATTAAATAAAAAAGCAATTGACTAACTCAAAATAATGAACTAAAAAATTATGAATTTCAAGTCAGTAAAGGTTTTTGCTACTAGTCTGGCATTGATAACTTTTATGAAAAGTCAGATGTTTGAAAGCAAATCGTTTCGTTAAAGACTCGGATACCATAATAAAGTTTCCAACTGCCAATCCTTGGAAAAATTAGACATTTGTTTACTCACATTAAATCATGCAAGAGGGGGATGAATGCCTTTGTCCCTATTCTGATTAACTATTACTTAAAATAAGTAGGAGGATTATTATAGTTGTGGACCTGTGGTGAGTTCTGTGAGGATAGCTAATGTAAGTATTCAAAGAATTCTTTTCCTTACTCCCATCTTTTCGCGTCATTTATTGAAAGTTATTGATTTATAAGACTGATTTCTAAATTTAACTCATTTTTTAAAAGGTTAATAATTCCTTTTAACTGCTGAGGAGCGGCTTTAAAAGTTGCTTTGCAGGTGTTTTTGAGAAATTTGGAATTGAACCGCAAGTGCAAAGGATTGGTAAATATAAGATGGCTGGAGATTGTCTTACGCGCAAAAGTATGTCTGAAGAAAATTGTGAGATACTGACTGCATTGCTTGATAACATCTACGAAAATTGGCTGGATAAAGTTTCTCTTAGCACAGGTGCTTTGTACTTTTTTTGGGTTTGTAGTGATCCCAAGTATCAGTGACACTTGTTTTATTGTGCTCCTGAAATTTTCATACAGGAAAGAAAAGAGAAGAAATTGAAAGCTTCATCAATGAAGGAGTTTACCAAGTTGAAAGGCTGAAAGAAGGTGGCTGGATAACAGATGTAAAGTATGATGATGAGGTGAAGATATCAGTTGTTTGAGACACGATTTATGATATCACTGCTGATTGAATTTCTAGACATACTTTGACTGAGTTTGCAGTTTCATCCAGTGCTGCTCTACTAGTGCTTAATATATCTAATAATTTGAAAGGAATTTTACTGTCAATTAATAAGGATTACATTAAACCTGATATGCAAAATATATATTTATGGAATAAAGCTTCTGGCTTATATTATTCTCCTTGTATTCATACACACTAAGTGCTTATCATTAGGCTTCCCAAGCTATCTGTGTTAACTTAATTTTTAATAATAATTATGAAAATGATCACAATCATTATTTTGGAGAAAGGTGTGAATTATAAGACAACAAAGTAATCTTTGCTTCTTTATTGATATGATAATTTTCTGATAGGTTGTTCTTAACCTGTGGCCCATGTAGGTTATATCGATACTGAGAAAGAGACTGGGAATTCAGAAGGATAAATATCTTCAATTAGTTCATTACAGGTAAACAGTGTTCTCTCTCTCTTTTTTCAAGCAGTGTTTCAGCATTCATATCTTTGTATCTATTGTTTTCTCCTGTTTTCTTGAGGGTGTTATTCACATTTCTTTAGCGTTCTAGTTACTTCATCCACTTTGCATCAATTATTTATCTATTTTCTAAATGTATCATTAATTTATGGTCTTGATGTTCATCTGTTCCAGGAAAAATATCGGTTTTCTTCTGATAATTATTTCTTATGGTTTATGAATGCAAAAGCATAATTTTGATATAAATACGTTTAAATGGCAATCGTCATACTGTCTTTACGCTATCCTTGTATTCTGATTCATAGCTTCAGAAATTGTAATTTATATCTCCATAAGTTTCTCTGAGGAGTGTAATCTATTTCCAGTTTACCATTTGAATATCATGAGCAGTTTTTGCCAAAACTCCACCTGTGGCTGTGTAAACATTCACTACACTTTTTTCCTATAATTTAACAAAAAATATATCTAGTCTGGAATGTGCTTCCTTTATATATATATATATATATATATATATATATATATATATATATATATATATATATTATATTGCATTCCTTGCCTTGAAAATTTGTATTTGTGTTTACAGCTCTTCCCGGGCATGTATTTGTTGTTCTGACATTAATCTTGACTTGTAATTTGTTAATTTCTTATTCTTGTTTTCATTTAAATTTATCTATTTATCCTTTCATTAACTGATGCAACCGTGATTGCATTGATAGGCATGCTAATCCTGAGCGTATAATAATTTATTTCGTTCTCACTACAGGAAATATACTAGGGTCAGGAAGTGGACTCTTGGTTTATCTGATGGTAAAGACAAAATAGTAATAATCAGAGCCTCTGGGAGAATTAGTCGTGTCCGTACTGCATTAAGGACACCTAGTTCGGGTATTATTAGCAAGCAATTCATTCACAAGATTTGCAGTGTAAGAAGTATGCTTTATTTTTTAGTCTACTTCTTGGATGTGCGTGCAAAGGGAAACTATCTTTTACTCTCACAATTGTGAAAAATGTATGTTGGTCATAATTAAATTTGATCCCATGAAATGATGGTATATAAAATATAAGCATGCAAATCATCTGCTTGGAGTAATCAATACATAATTACTCAATCAACTTGAGCATATCTACTGTGGTAATCCCTTGCTTTATTTTTTAATTTTCCTGTTTTTAATCTTGACACTATAAAAGTAACAATGGTATTGGGCACGTCAACCCATATAAATTTAGAAATCTCCATAATAATGCTATTTTATAGTAATTTCTTTGTAAATATAAAAGTAAAACATTATATTACTAAGATTGCTACTAATATAGTACTTTGATACTATTGTTGTTCCTGGTCGCAGCAGCTAATCATTTTGTGCGTCTAAACTCTCTATATATACCTTCTATGGTTTTAGAATGCAATCATCCTTCAATCATTAAGAAGTCCAGTGCATTCTAGCAATCTAATTGCTAAAGATTTGTTTCCTTTTCATTCATCATTCATACATTAGATGGTAAGTTCATTTTGAGTGTGATTATCATATAATCCAAGGACTACAGAGATTATTCAACACCGAAAGCATTTGCACATACTTAGAACCACTAATTGTTAGAATATATTGTAGAATATATTATTACTATATTGTATAATATATTTTAACCTTGTATAGGATTACCATATATATAGTTACCATATACATATAGGGAATATATTATTATATTGTATAATATATTCTAACCTTGTATAGGATTACCATATATATAGTTACCATATACAACGAGGCTTCCCTGGACGGGGCATATGAAGATCTTGGAGTGCGGAAGCGTGAGTTTGCTGGTTGACTGCCGTCGCCGAGGATGGGGCTAATGGTGCCATCCCAGGCGGTGACTACGATAAACTGGTAGATTGTTTACCAGAGATCGAAAGGCTTTGATACCAAGAGAGCCTTTCGATCTCTGGTAAACAATCTACCAGTTTATCGTAGTCATCTCCGGGGATGGCACCATTAGCCCCATCCTCGGCGGCAGCAGTCAACCAGCAAACTCACGCTTCTGCACTCTAAGATCTTCATATGCCCCGTCCAGGGAAGCCTCGTTGTATAAGTCTTCCTTCGGGAAACCCAACGAGATGCCTCGTTTAGAGAAGCCCTGCCTAGGGATGCCCTGTATAGGAAAGCCTTGTTGTTTAACGAGATGCCTCGTTCAGATATGCTCAACGTGTTGGATCAGCTCTGTCAGCGCGCCACCATGCGCCTTAAGTGGTAATCCCACTCTTCCATACGCCTTCACGCGCACTAGCGGTAATCCAGCACGTCAACGTGTCGGATCAGCTCTGTCACTTCGCCACTATGCACCATCAATGGTCATCATGCGCTCACACGCGCCTTCAACGTGGTCGTCACCCATCAGTTTATGGTAACCATCGGGGACATCAACCTTTAAACTTACGCTCCGCATCTACCTTCAAGATCTTCACAGATCCACCCTATGTCACCTGACATGTCAGCATCGGTCCAACGTCAGACACATTCTGCAACGGTGCCAGTAGTTGTGCCACGTCACCTACCACGTCAGTTGCCACGCAACAGAGGTGCCAGCAGTAGTGTCAAGTCACCTGGCACTTCAGTTGCCATGTCATCAACCACGTTAGCATCGGTGCCACGTCAGTTACATCAGGGTGAAAGGATTGTCTCCAAACTCAAGATGGCTTCATATAACCCACCTTGACTTTGAGGGGGGCTGTTAGAATATATTGTAGAATATATTATTACTATATTGTATAATATATTCTAACCTTGTATAGGATTACCATATATATAGTTACCATATACATATAGGCAATATATTATTACTATATTGTATAATATATTCTAACCTTGTATAGGATTACCATATATATAGTTACCATATACATATAGGGTTTACTTGTTCATCATACATAACCCCTCCTATATAAACCCCTTTTGTATACATCTCATACACATCAATATAATACAGAGTTTTCTCTTTTATATTTAACACTAATCATGGTGATTATTTAGCTAAAGGAGAAGCGAATTGCATGAGGAGCAGGGGCGTACCCCCCCCACCAATTTTTTTTTTAAATTTCATTTATAGGTGCCTTTTTTATAGTTATTACTGGTAGGTTTGAAAGAAAATTAAATCCCCCCCCTCCCCAAAATTCTTTTAATTTTTTTTTGTTTATAGGTCTCTTAATAATAATTATTATTATTTTAATCCCTCAAAAATTCATTACCACCTTTTTATTGTTACTTTAGAAAGTTCGAATCTAGTGAAAGAAAAATTAATTCCATATGCTACCGAACACACCGGCGGCCCAAACAAGTCGATAAAAACTGCTGGAGACCCGACAAAGGTGAAGAACATTACTGCCGAACAAAATGGCAACCCAAACAAGTCACAAATAGCACTGAGAAACCCTTAACAACATTTCAGATGCTAAGGGAATACCCCAAAATATTGGTTGAACCTAGGAAGATAAATTAGGCTTTGATACCATGTTGAAAAGTATAAAACATATGTGGAGAGAAATTAAATGAGAAAAACACAAAGATATTACATGGTTCAGCCACTAGGGCCTACATCCACGGCAGAAAGAGCCCAAACTAAGTATTTCTGGCTCCACCCCTAATGAGGAGCGTATTTGTTGAGTGGCAGTGGCATTTCGAAGGGAACATTTGGCGTGAGTCTGAGTCAAGGTAACTAGAGGATTCTTCTGTTTAACCAAGGTGTTTAATAATTTTTCTCACAGTGGATTCAATTTGTCTGGACTAGGTCCCTCGATTTTTTCCCAATTGGGTATTTTCACATAAAAATCATTTGTTCATATGTGGATGATTTATTTTATTTGCTTGCTTTATACATTCAGACATGGTGATTTTTTACATATTTCATGGTTAGTTGAAACTCAAGTTAGGGTTTATAATATTTTAAATGGTAATTTACTCTGACCTCCCCTGATGTTTGGTGAAATCACCACCGTTTTAAAGTTTCGGAAAAAATCACCGACACCCCCGTCAGAGTTAGATTACATTAATGATGAGATCATGTTCTATCTCCAAGTGGGTGCAGCATAACATCTCATTTTACACGACCAGACATCACTTATGCTGTTCCGCTTGTTTATTGAGTTATGCATTCCCCTCGTGGTCCTCACATCTAGGCAGTCAGCCATATCCACGGTTGTATTTAAAGGAATGTGTAGAGTGGTTTATGTTTTTGGCCCAAATCCTTTGGCTCTTTTAATTTGCTATGTCTATGCTGATTAGGAGGGTGCACCAGTACTCGACAATCAACCAATGTGCACACATTTTTTGTTCTATTAAAATGCAGCCTCTTGCTCAATCTAGCACTAAGGCTATGTACAAAACTCTCTCCTCTGCCCCTTGTGAATCTCCTAATTATTGTGTGATTATTGGCTGCATAGTTCCAGCACCCATTTGCTGTATATTGACAATACGGGGGCCATTTAATTGGCTGCTACAATATTCATGCACATACAAATCATATAGAGGCATTACACACATTGTCCCAAGCTAGTTGTCTCTCTTTCCTTTCTGGAATATCCCAAAATGTCTACTTTCAAAATAATAAATGACTTTACAAAATGATCCTTAGAATTGAAAAATCTTTATGGTTTGTAGATTGCATTTGGAATTTCAGAAAAAAGATGCGTGCCCTTTAAAAGCTTGGAATCACTAAAAAGGGACAACTATTTTGGTACAGGGAGTTCTTTGCTAGTAGATTTGTTGTGGTTTTGTTTATGTTGTCTGTGTGCTCATCTGACCAAATTGCTGACATATTTACCAAGAACGAAGCTACCTGTTTATGCAATGTTTCACATATAAAAGTGCGTTCTCCAAAGTTTGGGTTGGCAGTCTATCATGCAAACACACAGTTTCACTTTTTAGTTTGCTTTCTTCTCTGATTGATATGGAAGTCATTTTCCAGCCTCAAAAATATACGAGGCTGTTATCATCCGAATTGATAGTCCTGGAGGTGATGCGCTTGCTTCTGATTTGTAAGTGCTCAAGTAGTTGTATGATACATGTTTAATTTTCTAAAAAGTAATGATAGATGCTTGAACCAGAAAGACTGTAAATCAAATTGTCTATTGAGTTCCATTTTATATGTGTAATGATTGAGGATTTTCCAATATGTTGGTTTCAATATTTGAACATATTAACTGTTAAGTAATATTTGACTTTGAGGATTTCTTAATGCTTCCATGTATTAAATTTTCTGATGAATCACAAGCTCAAACATTTTGTATTGCATTTGTCAAAGTAACTTTGTATCTTAATTATAATTGTAGAAGTTGTCAGAGATTTCAAGATTACGTGGGTGGGTTTATGCTATGTCAAAATTGGGTTTTCTTTTTTGTCAAAACCATAGTTCTCTCATTTGCTTTATGTTTGAGAAACAGAGTATAGGTATGTTTTGGGAGTTACGTTCCACATTAGAGAGAATCACTAAAAAAAATAAAAAATCTTCTGCATTAGAAAGCTACAAAGGGATAAACACGGGGAACCCCACCCCTCGATTTAGAGATGTTCCTTTTGTTTTTTGAGGATTACGTTAATTCAAAAAAGAAAAGAGAAAGACAAGGACCAGTCTGCACGAGGATGACCTTGCAAGTGTAATCATGCAACATTATTTGAAAAATGTATGATGATGAGCCAAAGCCATGCAATTACTTGATGTTTAAAAAATTATATTTGTTACTTTCCAAATTACTATACTTAAAAAATTTCTTCCTGTTTCTCTCTTAAAACCACCAATTACTTAACTTATCAATCCACATAAATTATAGAGCACCCTGGTACTGCACGGTGACACCACCAATTGCATTAGGGTTGTGACTATGGTCTGGACAAGGATGCTGGCCATGCCTGTATATGTAATCATTTACTAATTCTGTAGAATTTAATAAGGTTAGCTAGTCTTTTAAGAAACAAAACTTTTCTAAGTATCCTATTTTTTTTTTTACTATAAATTTTTTTTATTTTTTATTTAAATATGTGACCTACTCAAATATTATTATGTTAAGTTGTTTTATTGAATAATGAGTTCTAGAATCAATTGTCATATTAAATTGACTAAAAACTGCTCTCTCCGAGATTCAAATATCATAGGGACCTCATTTAATTACAGGGACCTGTGTGATGATTCAAAGAACAATTTTCCTCCTTCCATATTGGCTGAAACAATCACAAACATGTCCTTTCTTAGTCAACCATTATTACAGTAAGAGAAATTGATGATATCAACTAATATTTCTATTCAATACATTGGTTGATTAAAAATATGGTTATACTTATTACCCCCTCCCCCTCTATTTTTTATCTACATCAACTTTGGCCCATAAAACTTTAAGTTTGGCATTATAGTGGACATTTAAAGCATTGCAATCTTCCCAATTGCTGCCGCATATGCAAGGGAGTTGGAGTCAATGAAAGATTTGATACTGTGCTAGCTGATGGGTATCAATGTGTGGGTCGTGGTGTCTATTATATCTATATTGTTGTATGCGGTTTGGGAGGAGTGCAACAAGTATTTGTTCAATAGGGTGGAGATTCTAGTTTTTGATTTGAAGTTGTTCTGAGCACCACCAAGAGCCCTAGTGGAATTCCCTCCTCCATCTAAATGGAAGATTGCAGGTTTGAGTCCTAATAGGACAAATGAGGGAAAAAAGAACTGCTTCTGAGCTCCTTCTATATTCCTATCCTTTTTATACATTTAAGGTTTTGAGTTTTATGGAGGTATAGCTCCACAGGTTCTATTTTCTTTCCCAAATCACCCTTGTTCATTCAGTGAAAGTTTTTTATAGATATTGGTGTTCTTTCTTTATATTTCATTTTCTGGATACATGTCTCTTTTCCATTTCTGAATGAATATTTCTGCTGCTTATGCAGAAAGGGAAAACTATGAAAAGGAAAAAGAAAACTACAATAATTTGTAATGATCTCATGTAGTTGATTAACTACCCTTGATGTTTGTGCTCTACAGAATGTGGAGAGAAATCAGACTTCTGGCTGCCTCAAAACCTGTCATTGTATCAATGTCTGATATGGCGGCAAGTGGAGGATACTATATGGCGATGGCAGCATCTACTATAGTTGCGGAGAATCTCACCTTAACAGGTTCAATAGGCGTTGTTTCAGGTGAACCTATCAGCACTCGTAATGTTCTGTTTTCAGCAGAAGTTGATAAGAACTGAAGTTGGCTTGACACTCAGATTTTCTTAAAATACATGGTTCCAACTATATTATTTCATTTTTAATAAAAATAAATAAATGCATTTTGATTGCATTAATAAGGATTACAAGCTGTGTTGAGATTTGAAAAAGCTGTATGGATGGTTTTAAAGAGTTTTTTGAAAATAAAGGTGAAGGGAGTTATTTGAAATCCATCCCATAAAATTCTGGTTGCACAAGTGCTGAGGTTTGGACTTTTCACCCATAGATTAAACTTTGGTCAAATATTGTAATCTACCTCCCTTGAGGTTTGGAATATTCTCCTTTGGCTGTAAGTGACGTCGTCAAATAGTTAACTGCAATAGCAATATTGCCTTAGCTTTAAGAAATGACCAAGTTCACCTTATATTTATTTGTAATGACAAATATATCTACTAAAATTGCTTTAGATAAATTTTTAATCATATGTGAATTATTATTAAATATATTACAAAAATTATTTATTTAATGTCCATATTAAATGTACATTAATTGACTACCTTCAAAAGTGTGTACCACACACAAATATTATTTTACATGCATTCAACTTTCTAATTCATGACATTCTAAATATAATTAAAAATTATCTATTTTTGAATATAAGTATATAATATGCATTTAATTTTTAACTTTACTTTTTAAATTATATAATTACAAAAAATTTCCATAAAATATATAACTTCCCAATTTTGTAAAAAAAAAAATATATAAATACAAATTAATTTACATTTCGCAAGTATTTAATACACGTATATTACATTTAGGCTACTTAATTTTCAAAACTAATTGCACATATATATAAATATTATGTAGTTTATTGTATTGAATATAAAATTAGAATAAAAAATATACTTTTAATATGCATATTACTTGTTTTGTAAGTGTTGAGGGAAGTTTTATTTGGGATGTTAGATATTCCTTCTCTAATTGCATTATTTCTGCTATTGTAACTACCTTATCATAAAATCACATGTTCGCAAACATTATGCTCTTGCACAATGTAATGTGAACTTAATTGATTAATTCGGGGATGAGAAAATAATATGAAACCACATGGGATCCGCTCTCTTAATTGAAACTATTTATAAATTTATTCTACATTATAAATTCCTCCCTATTCTTCAGGAAATAATAAAAGAAGTGGATGTTGTTACATTCTTCAAAATTCTGGACCTACTAAGCACCAACCATTCACAAAGGTTACAAGGGATGAGCAAGTGCATACTAAATCTTTTGATGGAATAATACAGGTTGCTTATAGATTTTCTGCATATTTATGTCAATAGATGCACAAAGGAAATGTTCCTAATAATTCTCATCCAGGTGTCTCCTCCTGCTATAAAGTTTGTGAATCATTCTCTAGGGGAATGTTACGTCTTTACTTGGTTATCATTAAGGATGTTGCAACCTCCCTAATTATTTTATTTCTCATAGATTTCCGTCTAATATGCATATTAGTTTGTTGCAATTTAACAAAGAGTGCTCTTATTCATGTTTTTCAGTCCACTCATTGTTGGAGTTTTCCTTTTTGGAGTTTGTTCTGCCTTTCTGCTGCCATTTCCCCTCCCACCTCCATTTATTCTCTTTCCATTGTTCTTTTCTATTTGAAATGTTTAGGATTGGATGGCGTGTCGAATTGAGTTGTCTATAGCTAAAATGCATGACTGTATCCATATCTGTGGTCTAAATTGCAAGTATGCTTATGCTATGAGTACAATTAAATGTTGAAGCTGATTTTATCTTGGGATCCAAAATGACCCTAATTTTATGTTTCATATTTTAGGTTATGGTGTTGATGTCTTATAATTGTGCTTTTAGGGAAGTTTAATTTGCAGAAACTATATAAAACATTTGGCTTCAATAAGGAGTTCATATCAAGAGGAAAATATTCTGAACTCTACCAAGCTAATCAGCGTCCGTTCAGGTAAAATGAGTTGACAAGGATACAATACTTATATTTTGTGGAACATCATTTCACTCGATGATTTCATATCTAAGCAGATTTTACGAAGGACTGTTTTTTGATTTATATCTCTGTTCAATGTCAATTCCTTTCTGGTCCACATATAGCCCTCTTCTTGGTTCTTTCATGTTTGTTTTCAATTTTGATACAATTTGACCATTTATGAGTAATCAAATTGAACTTGCAGAACGGATGAATCAGAACTCTTTGCCAAGCGTGCACAGAAAGTCTATGATCAATTTCGAGACAAGGCAGCATTTTCAAGATCAATGACCGTACGATAGTCAATTAAATAAACAACTTCGAGAGTAGTATTCTTTTTTATTCTCTTGCATTATAGTCCCAATCATTCTGTGGCAGACAGAAGAGATGGAGGAGATTGCACAAGGGAGAGCTTGGACTGGCAAAGATGCAGTTTCACGAGGTTTAGTTGATGCTATTGGTGGGTTCTCTAGGGCTGTCGCCATAGCCAAACAGAAGGCCAATATACCACAGGAAAAACAGGTTATGTCCCTGCTAACTTTTTTTCCCTTGCTATTCTCTAGTGTTCTGAAAAATATGGGTGGTTTTTATTTATCTTGGAATGAACTCAGTCTATAGCCAAGTCTTAATTAAATTCATCACTCTTAAATTATACCATGGCTTATATAATCCGGTAATTTCTTTATGGACTTGTGAATGTCATACCTAGTATTAAGTGTCTACGTTACAGTATAACAGTTTTGAGGGAGTATGCAAATTTTAGTCCGAGAGTTCATATATGCAACTAAGATGGCCCTAATGTTTCTGTCATGTGGCTGTTCCATGATGCACAGGCGCTCCAGTGCGCTTATCGCCTCAATTCTTCTAGACAAATTTTAATTCTTTCCACATGCCTGCCTTTGCCAAGTTGCATACAAATCTTTTTCTGATAAGTTGCATATAAATTTAATATGTTCCTCATTGTCCTGAAAAAAATTTCAATTTTTAAATGTCTCCCAATCATTGTGAGACGAAGTCTGATATGCTTATTTCTAGGAGGCATTTCTTTTACATTGTAAAAATGAAACGAAATTTCAATTTGTATTGGTCAAATGGTCCATTGCTAGCATAAATGTCCTTTGGAGTCAAAGAAGATAAAATTTTTAGTTTTAGAATACGTCCTACACTAAAATGTGCAACACATAAAATGTGCCCTTCTTGATTCTTTTGTTATTGTTTTCGTACTCTTGAACATTTACAGGTAACCCTTGTTGAGCTGTCAAGAAGACTCACCCCTTCTCTCCTAGAAGTTTTTAGTCGCATTAGGAATTCGGAAGGAGTGGACAGTACATTGAGTGAAGTGCTACAAGACTTGACGCTTTCAGATGAAGTTCAGGCCGAAATGGACGGGATCCTGCCTGAGAAGCTGGACGAATCTGCGTACGCTAACCCGGTGTCAACTTTGATAAAGGACCATCTACATTCTCTCTGACCACGGATGATTATCCGTCTTTATGTTGTAAGTTTCTTTCACGATAGTAGGATCATGAGATGGATACTTTAATGTCAGTTGGACAAGACAATTGCCTGATACAATAGAAAATGGAATATTACTCAAAGAAAGAAGGTTATGGTAGTTACGCATTATACATAGTTACATATTCTGATAGAGTTGCACAGGTTATTGTTGGACTATGGTAGTTACATACTTTGCTTGGGCATTGTATAATGCATTCTGATCAAAGGAAAATCAATTCTATCTATTTTTATTTTTATTTTATTTTTTTATTACGAATGCTACTTGTCTTGTGACCACCGCCGCCTTTCATCCAACATCATTTTATATATGTATATATATATATTGACCTGCCAAGGAGAGTTGGTAGTTAGTGGGGTTAGGGGAAGGAGATTCGAATTTAGGATCATAGGGTGGTGGGCACTTAAGGCGTGACTCTTTACCACTCCGACAACACAGTCACACCAAACTAGACCTTATATATTGAATAACAAGAATATCTTAATGGAGATCTTTTCCGCTCTAGTTGGTGTTATACGTGGAATATTAATTCACAGCAACCTGCAAAATCCTAAACTGCTATAGCGTCCTTCAGCTTGTTAAAATGTGAATCATTTTGGAAACCAGTATTATCATTTATAAGCTATATATTATTGCATTTATCGTGTTGAGCTTTACTAAAGACCTCTCATCAAAAAAATACTATTTATCCCGTAAAATAATACCGATTTGTGTGCCGAACTCAGTAATTGCCAAATTTGGTCCATAAATTACTATTCTATTCTAAATTAGATAATTGTGGAGGAATAGAAATCTCCTCCAGCCACATGTAGCAGCTAGCTCAACCATCCATTGCAAGACACTGGGCTACGACTTGATAGGCCAACCCTAAAAAACAAAGGTGAGGAGTTCTTAATTTGGGCATCTTCAATAGCTCAACCATCCATTGCAAGACAATGGGCTCGAGCACAAATGCTGATTCTACACATGCCCTAACTCTTGGAAGGATTTCCTAAATTGGGCATCTTCGAATTGGAAACAAAAATTAAAGAGCAGGGTCATGATGTGGAAGCTATCCTTGGCTAGCTATGTTTACCATGTTTGGAGGGAAAGAAATAACAGATTGTTCAGAAATTGCAACTGAATGGTGCCTCCCCTTCATCCTTTTACCAACTCACCAATTCAAACCCCTTATTCTCCTTTCCAAACACCCACCAAACATACCCAGCAGCACCTCCTCCAACACCACCGCATCAACCACCACACAACCCAGCAGTAATGTGATACTCTCTTCTTTGTTGATTACTCCCACCCGAGGCTTGGCATAGGTGTTAGGTTGACACCTGATTGCATCTTTGGGCTTGGGCTTTGGGCTGGACTTGTGCTTTTGTATCCTGGATTTGCTTGGGCCACTGGCCACTCATGTGGACTTCTATTTTATTTTCGTGTGGCCCATTCCAGTGTACGGGCCAGGGGTATGCCCCTCGTATTTCTGTAAATATTTATTTTTTTGCAATTTATTACTTAGTTACCGAAAAAAAAAAAAACTAGTAATATTATATTAAATTTTAATAAAAAAAATTTGCAAAGATTTTTTTAGTACATTTTTAATGAATATTATTAAGAACGCGATACTATAAATGATACAAGAAGAAAAATGAAGGAAACAATGGTTGAGTTTGCCAAACACTTTTTTTTTTTCCTCCTCTCCAATTTATGACGAATAATATGTATGCGTTATGTATGCGTGTATATAGATATGGATAGAAAGAGTATATTGTAGAACGGATTATAATAAGAATTAACAATTTTATTTACTAAATTTTATTTTTTAAAAACAAGAGGTTCATTACACTTTGAAGGGATTACAAATAAATCCCCTCATATGGTTTGAAAAGAATAGAATAAACAGCCATTAAAATTTAGAAGTAAAATAGTCATAAAATTTACAAATCAATAATAGTTCTTTTTACTTAAAACATTTAATAATTCAACAATTAGAACTCGGGTTTCCTTTTCTTCTCCCTTTTCACAAGCAAGAGGAGGGGATCTCCTCTATTATTTTCTGAAATGTATCATAATCATCTAATTAATTAACCAACGAAAGATTAAATTTATTGTACTTACTATTTAATAAAGTAAAATTTAATGTATTGTACTCATTTAATCAACTGCCTTCAATGTATTTAATCAAACACAAAGTAGACTTAAATTATTGTATTTTTTAGCACATTACGAAAAAATAGATATGAGATTCAAGTAGACATAAATTTCAAGAAAAGACTAGCAACACTAGATTCATATTTTAAGAAAACATCATAGTCAGTTATATATATATTTCTTACAAAATTATTAATTTATGTAATAAGTGGGACCTATAGAAACTTACTGTATAAGGGAATTTCATCATGACCGACGTAATTTATTATTTAAAAGAGATTATTAATTAATAATTTGTAGAGGTTATATTGTATTGTGACTGTCAAATATTTGACTATATTAAAAAAAAAAAAATTATAAATTTATCTTAAATTTGCTAAAGTTTAAATTAGTTTCCTTAAAAAATTATGTATATCAGACATCTCGAATCCGTTTTGGAAAAACACAAAAAATTTAGGTAGGGCGAATTTGGGAGAGGGGTGTCTTGTCCCGAACTTGCTCTGTTGACATCCCTTACCTAATGGGTGTTGAGAATTCAAAATAATAAAATACTATTTAACACAACATTAAGGTTTGTCTACAAAATATTAATTAATTAAAGTTGTCATCTTGAAATAATGGCCTTAAATCTAAGCAAAGTTTAATTAGGGATATGTGGTGTGTGCTCTGATTGAATCATGTCCTCAAACTGGAACACACAAAACGACAGATACATATAAGAAGAAGCCGCAACATCTACAAAAGTTGATAGTGAAACCACATGTTGCCCATCCGAACAATCACATCTTGGTAGGAAAAGCCTTGCAACAAGTTCTCTTCACCTCAACCTTTTCTTCTTCCAATACTAGTGCGTGTAGTTTGTGTGTTTTGCTAGTTACAGAAGGAACAGAGTTGAAGGAGAGCAGAAGAGGGAAAAATGGGAAAAACGTGCTGCTCGGAAACCGACGATATCCTCCTAGGGCTGGTGGCGGCTCTGGTAATGGCAATGGTGCTTGTTGTCCTATGTCAACCCGAGTCAGGAAGAAGAGGTCGGGCGTGTTCTTGTTCTTAAATTCTGATAACAATTATTGATTTTACTCATCTGTTGGTATCATGCATTTCTGGCAATAATGTACCATGATCAAGAATATTGAAGGATATAATAAATTTGTTTGAATTCTGTCAAATTTATGGTAAGTAGCTCTTCCTTTTCCATTATCTTTTAACAGTGACAAATCCATATTCTGTTATGATTATAGCTGTGGATGGTCTTTTATTTGGTTCATTGGTTAAAGTTCAAACTCGAGCATGACCATCTTGTGGTTCAAATGAAAGAGCAACCAATATGTGTATTTTATTTGCAGAGGTCAAAATAAAAGGATGTAATACCTCTTCCAGCCTTTTGGAAACTCTGCTTGGCGGCATGAAATTGGAGCCTTGAATTGGAATTGGTAAAATTGAAGAAAATTTTGATTCAATTTTCTGAATTTCTTTTCTCCAATTCCAAATCCAATTCCAAAGCTCTAATTCCAGGCCTCCCAAACATAGCATCAGGTTTTTGATGAAGCAGGATGATACAAGGGGATGGTAAACAGCAATTGGTGAACAACATTTTTCTTCCCTATTTAGGACCAAAACAAATTTTGCAATAGAAAATGCAATAAATAGCAAATAAAAAAACTAATGTAACTACTACAAATTAAGTAACTGCTGAGACAATAATGTCACAATTTAGCAAGAAATAGAACTTACTAGTTCCAGATAGTTATTTTGTATCTACAGGCAAGAACTAGCCCAGGAACAAACACCTATATGTTAGCACTCGAATTCTCAAGCAAGAACTAGCCCAAGAACCAGAACTCTCAGGCTGATGCAATAAACATCAAAAGATTAGGCAAACAAACTCCCCTTGGTTTATCATACTTGGTATTTAGTTTCAATCCATATGTTAGCACTCGAAGTTAATTTCTCATACTTCTATCTTCAAAATGCAAGTAAATGACTAAGAATAACCATGACACAGTAAAATATTATTCCACCAAATTAGCCCAACACATAACACCAAAGATCTTTTAGCCGCACTGATCTTAATGAATTCAGCATGGTATAATAGCCTAAAAGCACCTTCCCTCCCTTTCAGGGTGCTCTCGCAGCCAGAAATAAATAAATACACGCATAAATTGATAAATAAGTAAATGAAATAGAATAAGCATATACACCTTTCATCAAGCATATAGTTGATCCAAGGTATAATGTAGTAAATTCCAGTAAATTTCTTGATTTCAGATAGACACAGTTACTTCACAAAGTTCCTTTAAAGGAAAGCCTATCGGACGAAAAGACCTACACTAGATAAGAAAAGCTTATGCTTTAATGAATCCCTGGTCTTTGATATAATATTTTCACTCTTGGTGACAAAAAGCAGCTGCGGCAAGTATTAGCCAGAGCAAAGCTTCTCAAGAGCCATGTTTTCATCACCATTAACTTTTTCCAGAGTACTCCTCACCAAAGCTTCTGGGAAGCCCATTTCCACAAGTTTTTGTACCTGTGAAAATCCAGCTCCAGCTCATACAGTCCATACCATCATGAATTGTAAATGCATTGATATAAACCTTATAAAAGAATTTGCCTGCTATCTTATTCTTTGATATGAAGAACTCATGAAGGAAAAAATAATGAAAAGAAAAAAGGAACGTAGGAAGGAAAGAAAGCCAAAACCACACACACACCTTCTCCTCAAACCCCAGAGTCGATGACTTAGCAAACGTTTCTGTCCAGTAACGAGCTGTGCCCACAAAGGTTTGATAGTCTCGAAGATACTACAATGTCAACACATGATACTTGTTGGAAATAAATAAACAAAAATTATTGACTACAATAAATAAGGCAATGGGCAAGGCCAAACTACAAAGTGCAGCAATGTCCACAAACAGGGTAATACGGAATAATCGCATATATGGATACGTAGAGAAATTGTGACAAGGATGCCAGCAATATACCTGTTGTGCTACTACAGCATCTTGAGGATCATCAGGTTCAGGGGTGGAGAGCAATGCTTGAATAGAAAGCAGTGCCGTTTTAAGAGTGAGAGCTGGGCTCCACTGGTCCTTCAGAATGTCCAGGCATATTGCTCCACTTTGACTACTAATATTAGGGTGCCTTCAACAGTTGACGTACACACAAATATTTCAGGTGTTAATATCTGAGAGGTTACTGGCTAAAAATTCTGTCATCATCACTTGAAAAAAAAAAAAAAAGATCTATGAAGAAATCTCAATCAATTTTAAGAGATAATTTTCAACAACCTATTAAAAGGCGACAAATAATTGGCTGTTTACAATTTTTGGCATGCAACACTTCACTTTCCTTTATCCCCCCAACACCAGAGAGAGAGAGAGAGAAGGCACAACATGCTACAATAGTAACCAGAATCACCAAAGAAATTAAATCTTTCAGGTTTTAACTTAAACGGCATGTCCATAATGAACCATTGGACCTTCCACTGTTACCGCATCAGATTTCAAATGGAATAAAAAGTGTCTAATATCACATCATCATGCATGGTAGGTTTAACTTTATTTAACAAATTCATAATTGGTGTGTATCAGCTTTAAAAGCCACCTACGAGAAGAAAGGTTAACAAACCTTGTAGAACTACAAGGACTAGCCCGATTCCTAAAAGGTTTTATGGTGGTTTAGTTTATTTTGACATCAATTGACAACACATACTGTCAATGGACCAAACAAGCATAAGGAGTTTTGCAAGTAATTGTTTTAATGTGCATGCATATCCCAATTTTTTAAATTCTCATGATCCTCAAAAAATTTATTTGGCTTCTTTTGTTATGAAACCAAGTTGTAGGTTGCAATGCCAAGACAGATAAATATCTGAAGATGAAAAACAAATCAGAAATCCCAGCCTGTGTCTATCATCAGAGATCTTAGCGATGTCAATCTTAAAAGTATTAATTGAAAACGTGCAAAAAATAAAATAAATAAATAAACAAAATGAGTACCATGTCAAAAACGAGATATAGATCTCTGAGTGAGTGAGACAGAGAGAGAGTAAGTGCGTGAGAGAGTTCTTAGATGCATCAACCAACAAAACTTTAACTGTGAACCGCATAAGCATTTGATATATATATATATATATATCTTTTGCACTTACTCTTGCAATTAGAGAGAGAGAGAGAGAGAGAGAGAGAGAGAGAGAGAGAGAGAGAGAGAGTAGAACTGCTACTCGGCAAGGAGCCACAGAGAAAAATGGTGTCCAAATTAACAACTATGCTTTATTTGTTTCATGGATAGATAGGGAAAGGAGGAGAAAGAAAAGAAAGGGAAAATTGTTTTGTTCTAATGTTCAATCCCCTGCTCATATAAAATAAAAATTATATATAGAAAATGGTTAGGAATCAATGACAACCGGGAACAAAAAAAAAAAAAAGACATGTAGAGTCAACTAAAAGTTTACTGTTTCATTGAATAACATATATATCCATACAATGTAAATAATGAAACTATAAGATTTCCAACGTCTATAATCCCTTCCATTTAGGTTGTTATCTGAATTCCATACCAAACTTTTGTGGCAAATTACATTTTGAAAATGGTTAGGAATCAATGACAACCGGGAACAAAAAAAAAAAAAAAAGACATGTAGAGTCAACTAAAAGTTTACTGTTTCATCAAATAACATATATATCCATACAATGTAAATAATGAAACTATAAGATTTTCAACGTCTATAAACCCTTCCATTTAAGTTGTTATCTGAATTCCATACCAAACTTTTGTGGCAAATTGCATTTTTGGAGGCTCGAAAGGGTACCCATCTGCAAAAAGGAGCACTAAAAATCAACAAATGCAAGCCAAAATATGTGTACGAAACTGATAAATGATCTTTGAGATAATAATAAAGATAGCTCCTCAGCACAAAAAATGCACAGAAAAAGAACGAGCAAACAACAGCATAGTGGTTCATACTCACATTCAGCAATAGATGCACATTCTGACTAAACCCAGAATTATACAGTGGACAAATGGATACCTCTAATTGTTATATATATATATATATATATATATATTCCTTATATGCACAGCATTAAACAATTTGCAGTCATTTAAAACCCTAAACCTACCTTCCCAAATTCAAAGTTTCAGCTGCATTTGCAAATAAACTCACACACAAACAACAAAAGTGACAAAAACAAATAATAATAATAATTGAAGCCCTAAAATTGTAGGTAAGAACACATGGTTAAATATATGTATGTATATATATATATCTATATACCAGGCAAAACAATATCGATGCTGAAAGTGCCGCCTTCGTAGGGAGTACCAATAGGGCCAGGAATTATCCCGATCAAACGCGTGAGATTGTCGCCTTTGAGACTGATATTTATGCCAGACACATCAAGGTCTCTGTTACATTCTTGAAGCTCCTTCTGTACGCGAGAGAAGTCCACCATCTCCAATTCGATTTTAGAGAGAGAGTGAGAGGGAGGAGAGAGAAAGAAAAGCCCTAATTGGCGACAGAAAATAAATATTCAGAGCATAAGGCCTCTCTTTACCTTCCCTTTGCACAGAGAGAGCGCAGTATAAAATCTGTGGGCGAAATAAACAGTAAAACAACAGAAGAGATAACTCCAAAAAACATAAATAAATACAGTAAATAAATAGATTCTCCTAAATAGGGGGATAAACAAAAAAAACCAAAACCTATATTGGATAGGGAGGGAGGTGGTCTGGTTTTTAAATTTTGAATGGGTTGAAGTGCAAATAAAATTCTTATAATTTAAAAGTGTGCAAATACCACTACCGTGTTCAAATCTCACATAATATGTAAATAAAGTAAGATAGGTAAAAGTACAAAAATGCCCCTCAAAATTCCCTTTACAAAAAAAAAAAAAAAGTTAAATTAATTAAAGAGGCTTAAACAAAATTAGAAAGTAAAATCAAATGAAATACTGTATAATGTAAAAAATCAATAAATAATTAAAAATATATATATCTTTAAATCAAATAAATAATTTTTATGATAATATTTATCTAAAAAATCAAATGAAATATAGTGTAATATATATATATATATATATATATATATAAAGTCAAGTGCCAAATTGTTAGCCCCTTGACGGTGATTTAGCCCTGCAACACAAATCATATTTCTATATATTTTTCGTACGGAATAAACTATTTTCGCTTTTACAAATGACAAACCCTTAATACTTGACCAAATATTTCATTCTTAAATAGTATATAACATGCATAGACATTGAGATTTATATATATTCGTCTTATTAACTAAAAATGTCTAATGGTAAATAGGGTCTAATGACGCATTCACGTGGGTCTTTGCATTGGAATATGAGATTTTAAAAATATTAATTTTGGAGTTTGCCACAACTACTAAAATAAAATTACTATTAATAAAAAGTAACTCAGGTAATAGAGAATTAAACACTGACAAAGAAATATTCAAAGCAATATAAGAGCAAGGAAATACAAGCTATAAAGTATAAACAACTCAGAGTAAGAAAATACCAATAGAACAACAATGCATTAATTTAGAAAAAAAAATACAACTTGAACCAGAAGAAAATCCTCGATCAATATAATCTTTCAATTGTATCTTATCTTTACACCCTTTGTTTTGTGCAAAATTATAGTCGGATGAACAACACGGATTCACTTGTCTATTCCAACTTCTCCCATTAGAGGCCACTTCTTTTCATTGCTTAATCTGATATGTTGCTTCCTTACATAGCACCACTCCTTATCTTTCTTTTCTTTGTTGACTTCTAACCACTTTCTTTTAATTTCTTTACTTTTTCTTTCATTTTCTAACTCATCATTTTTTTCCCCATTCCACGCTTCTTCTTTTATTTTTCTCTTTTCTTCTTCTTCAATGATGATGTGGCAGGTGATGGACTATGTAGCAAAAATACAACACCATTTTGTTACACGTGAATTTGAACTTCAAACTTCTTGAATGATAATTTGCACAACACACCAACTTTTCTTTTATTTTTCTATTTTCTTCTTCTTCAATGATGATGTGGCAGGTGATGGACTATGTAGCAAAAAAATAACACCATTTTGTGGCACGTGGATTTGAACTTGAAACCTCTTGAATGATAATTTGCACAACACACTAACTTTTCTTTTATTTTTCTCTTTTCTTCTTCTTCAATGATGATGTGGCAGGTGATGGACTATGTAGCAAAAATATAACACCATTTTGTTGTACGTGGATTTGAACTTGAAACCTCTTGAATGATAATTTGCACAACACACCAACTTTTTTACAATGCTCCTTGTGTACTTTTTTTTTTTTTTTTTTTTTTTTTTTCGATGATATAAATCAATATAATCTTCTTTCTTTCAACCACAATTTCTCACTCTCTCTCCATTTTTGCTTCTTCTCTTCTCATTTATGCATTAACACTTACAAAATACAAAATAAGCATATAAGAATATTTAAATAATATAAAATTCTAATCAAAAACTTATTTTGGTGCATGAAATAATATGTTTTGTGTACTTATCATCTATATGTCGACCGGCTCTCCCCAGGTTTGTGGTTTTGGCTCTTATTGAGTGCCTTTGGCACTTGACGTCTTTTGGCTCGCTTGTGACATCGCAAGTGACTTTAAACCGGTTCTAAAAAGTTGTATAAAGTGAATAAAACGTCATATTCATGAAAACGTTGATCGTTTGATGAAAATACCCTTTTAAATTGGAAATTCTATTGACAGCCACATAACATTCTTTCCTGAAAATCATTTAAAGACGACCATCATCATGCACACTCAAAATGACCATGAGCTAATAGATTACATTGCCAATACAATAAATTTACATTTAAATAGAAATAATTACAAAATGATACATGTTTAAATCCTAAACTTTACAAATATGGAATTAGTTACAAAAAGGTGATAAAAATAGACTCTATGTCTATGCCTAAGCTCGTAAAGATACGCCACCCACCTCTTCTCTTGCTAGCTTGATCAATACACATCATTCGCTAATTATATATAAAACATCTTATAAACTACAAATTTATACATAAGATAAAAATGTCTTTACGAATCTATTAAATTTGCTATGGTAGGACATACAAAACCAATAATATATATATATATATATATATATATATATATATATATATTGTCAAGTATATATTATTTTATCAAAAGGAATTTTTATATGATCAAACGGGAATAATCAATAAGTACAAATAAAAGTTTAATTATGCAATTGGATTGATGGTAATTTATTTATCCATTAACAAAATTTGCAGAGGTTATTTTGCAAATTATCTCGGTGGTTTTAACATTCTCAAATTGGAGTGCAACCATTCTTATACAGTGGTATTAAGTTTGATTGGTGGGTTGACTTGAATTGAGTGGGGACAGGACTAGGTATATTAGTCCAGACCATTGGAGCCAAAGAGAGTTTGATCCCATGGTCAAGAGAGAATGAATATTGTGGATTAGTTGTAGAGTGCTTTGAGTACTCCAACGTGTATCTTTAAATAAGGTGTTATAAATTCTAAGCCCCTATGACATGCGTTTTATTTCTGTTGTTTTTTTTAGGTTTTTTTTTTTGCTATTATAGTGTTGATTTGGGCAACAAAAGTATGTTTAATGCAGTTTTATTTTATTTTACACAGTGCTAAAACACTTCGTGGATAATGGCCCAAAACTAAAACACCAAAAAGTTATTTTTTCTTATTTTGATAACTGTTCATGTCTCAAAACCACATCCCTAGTGCAACATGTGCAAAATAAAACGCCAAAAACATCGTTCCCAAACGTATTTCTGATTTTTTTTTTCAAAACACTCCTATAATAAAAACACTGTTTCTATTTTAGTAAAAAGCAAAATGCTTAAAACAAAACGCATGCCAAACATGCCCTAAAACGTCAATCATCTTCTTCATGAGACATTCTCTCACTATACACTCTTTATACACACTCTCTCTCTAAAGCTGTCACAAGCTTATGCTTAGAGTATTCTTAGACGGATCATAGAAGTGATTTATTTGGGCTTTGAGAAATGTTGGAGCAAGGAGATCATGAAGCTCGGAGGTTAAAGGAGTTTCTCTCCAGAAGTCGGTCTATTTTGAAAAAGGATGGCTGTCTCTACACAAAAAGTTAACTTCATTACCTACTTCCCAATTTTGAAAACCCCCTTTAATTTTACAATAGGGTTAAACAATATTTTTTTTATCAAGTGCGTGAATAATAATTATATAAGTGAATTTATAAAATTGATAAACAAAAACAAAATTAACAAACATGTTTTTCTTCCAAATCTATTTATATAAACAATAAATTGTAAATTACCAAACGGTGCCTAAATCAACATTGAAATAAGCAATTTTGTTTATTAAAATGGAGCGCACTATTGTACTTTCAAAGAAAATGTTAACGAGGCTAACAGTGCCAACTCTAACAGGGGTGTAAGTGACATTTTAAAAACTTTTAGCCATGGGTAATAAAGTAAAACTTCTGGGGAGGGGTGGTTAATTTACCCAACTCTTTTTTATTTATTTTTATTTATTTTTTTAATTTTTTTTATTTCTTTTTATCACAACATAAAGGCTGTAATATTGGAATAATTTGTAAAATCACATACTATAACATCACAGACTCATCCATCTCATAACAAATGTAAACCAATACTAGTCTATTACACACAATTCACAATCTTGATGACAGTAGAATATCAGGACGTTTGGTTTGTCATTTAAAAAAATAATTTTTTAAAACTCAGAAAACTGTAACTATTTTAAGAGAACTATGAACGACGGTACTCTTTTAAAATAGGCCTTTTTATAACTAAATTTTTAAAAAACAATTTTTCAAAAATTGAACCTAAGACTTTTTGTACAGTTCATTTATTTTCAGTTCTTTAAAAACAGAACTATTTTCTAGATGACAATCCAAGCACGCCCGTACTCCAACCTTCCAAGTACACCCCTCATATTTCAATCTTGCTACTTAAAAACTGCCAAAACAAATTCATCAAACAAACACGACCATGAGAAAACAGAAACTAAAAGAAAGAGCAGGAACATAGGCTAGAGCATCCATTACCAATGGAAGAAAAACTCTCCGGACCATGTTTGGAGATCTGGAAGATATAAGTAGCTTGCTCACTTCATGCGCTGCAGAATTGCAATTCCGAGAACTCTAGAATTACAAAAGAACCTTAACATCTTCAAGGATTCTAGCAAGGCCTTCTTCGAAGTGATGAGATGAATTACTGATAATCACCTTTGACTATAAGGTCGTGAAGATCCCCCTGCGAGGTGACAAGAATAGCATCCCAAAGGATTAGAGGCTCTGCACGGATAACAAACACGTAGATGAAAAACGGAGGAGATACAAAGCAAACAACAATCTGAGGAGATACAAAGCAAACAACAATCTGAATTACGGATCACAATTCCTCCACCACTCTTTTGATTGAGAGTTAAAAGTTGCATCAAAATTGATCTTTACCCAACCATAGGGGGATGCTTCCAAACTTGAGAGGGTGGACAAGTAGCTGCCATTTTGAGCAGCCTGTTGTGCCTCTGAATTTCTGAAAATTCTGGCTAGTCAACAAAGAGCTTTTCCCAACACAACGCGAGGATCAAGCTGTTCGTCATTGAAAACACAGGCATTGCTCTGTTTCCAAATGTGCCAACATTTAAGGGAAGCCAAACTCGAACAATCACTTTGGTTCCATTGGTTCATCAACTCTAGCCAATGCTTTTGCCATGACATGGGATTGAACTCCTTCAAAATTAATTCTATAAGGGCGAAGCTTCCATATTGTTTCGAAGAATGGGCACAAGCAGAAAATGTGATCTTATGTCTCCTCTGAATATTGAAATAATTTGCAGTGTGTGATTTATGTGATTCCTCTATGTTTCAGGTTTGCATTAACAGGGAGTTTTACATGAAAGCTTTGCCGGAGAAAGAAACAAACTTTACGAGCAGATTTAGTCTTCCACATCTCCTGCCAGCCTTTCTTTAAATCTTCCATATCTCTTTCCAGCCTCTCTCTACCTCTGTTGCATTTCTGCAGCTTGGAATCATGCCTGGACGCTGTTCGGGATTAACAGTAGAGAGGGCTACCTTCAGGCACTCCTGACATTGAACACACCATTTATTGTAAATCTGTAAATCCCGAGACTTTTGAATCTTGAGCTCTTATTTGTCTCGCTGATTTGGAGGATCAGATCACTATCCCTTCGATTGAGATGGAGGAGATCAGAGCAGCATTCCATGACACATTTGTTATGTTAATTTCATAGATACCAAACAAACAAGAACGCCAGTGTCTAAAACACAATAACACTAATAGATACAATTTTCAAGCCATCTCTGTTCCCCTGTCACATCAGGCGACTTGTAATTTACACTCCAAATACCACTCACTCTTTTATCTTACACTTTATTTTGTGAGAAGCTTGCCGCCTTTAAAACAAAATAAAAAGAACACATAAATTTCACACAACTCCAAATTAAGCCACTAATAAACAGTTAAAAGATCAAATTATAATTATTTAGATTAAAAAAAAAAAAGTTTCAAATCAACCACTGTCATCCATAACCTGTATGAACACTAAAGACTACCACCAATAAGAAATTTGTGATTTTGAATCCAATAAAGCTATTGTATAAGCTACGACTACAACCAACATTTCAAACAACTAGTAAGTTACCAAAATTATTTAATTTCTTGCAAATGCTACAAAAAGAATACTTCAATTCCATTTTTTCATATCATATTCCAATTTTTCATATCCTTGATTGGGAAATCCAAAACGCCATATGATATTCCAATTTTTCATATGATATAAAAATAATCCATACTAATGAACATTTCTAGAATCAGATCAAATGGAATATCCTATGGCCTTTTGGAACTAAAAGAAGAGTACAAATGTCATCAAGAGATTTTATAGCTTCCATGGCTATTCAAAGTTACTGATCTAACACCTCTATTCCAGAAGCTTGGAAAGCAGTCAAAAACACGTCTGAGCCCATTTTCTCTGTAAGGTAAATAGAAGTGGTTTCCAGAATACAGAAGAACTATGTTAAAACGAGATTTTCCTGACTCCATTTATGCTGAACGAACAATATTCTGACGTCTACCACAAAACTAAACCATACTAATGAACATTTCCTTTTTCACAGATGAAATTGTCTGTACTGTTCTTGAGATTATATGAATAATAACTTATACTGAATCGTGAATGCAGAAATCAAAGAGGTACCTCCCCCAACGATACATGTATGTTCTGCAGAATGCACTGAGAGAACCTCAGGCACCTCTTCTTTGACTGCTTGTTCTGTGCTGGAGTTTGGTCCTTGATTCATACCAAATACGGTTCTTTTTGGCCTCAGAATATGCCCCTTCCTCAGCTTCTGGTGTGGGTTAGCTTCAATCTTAATAGCAAATGCTAGCTGCATACTTTGAACAAGGTTGCCCTATCTGCTACAGTCTACCATCTATGGAGGGAAAGGAATTAGAGAATTTAAAGTTGTTACCTACCAAGAGTGGCTTGGAATTGCTTCCTCCATCCTTAGTGATGTTAAGCTTAAAACTGCATTCTCTGCTGGCAGAAATGACTTAATATGGGATGCTCTGAATCATCTTTAGCTTGATGTGGTGTTTTTTGCTGTTTTGTTCCTTCTTTGGTTGTGTTTCTGTGTTGCTTATTTGATTTTTGCCTGTGTACTTTGGGGGGTATGCACTCCTTATTTCTGTACATAAGTATCCTTTAAATGCAATTATCAATTACCAAAATAAGTGCATGCAATCATTCAGTTCAAGAGTTCCGCACAATTAAACCCCTAAAGCTTGCAAGGTAGATGCATATTTAAGTACCGACCATGCAACTGAATGTCGGCAGCTTTACTACCATATTTTCCCCAAGGCTAATTCTTGAAGAATATATCTCCTTCTCACTGGAGGCTTCCAAACCTTGTAAGTTACCATGACTATGTTATCCTTATGCAGTAAATAACCATCATTCTTAAGCAAAGTGTTGGAGGGAAAGAACCATCACCCAAGGCTAGCTAAAAGCCAAATTAGACCTAAAGGTGGGTGAAAAGGACTTAACACTAAATACGAACCTTAACCGAATTTTACATTTCAACTATCAGAATTACATGAAATTGAACCATCAATCTACAAGCACGTAAAAATAAGCGAAGTGCAAAAATATAAAGCATCCACTCATCTGCACATATGAAAATTGATTTTTACATAGAAAACCCTATAGGAGAAATCCTGCAAGAGGCAAATCAAAATCCACTTACAGAAGAAAGGTTTACAACAAGGTCAACCATACTCTAACCCTTGACTTTCCTAGCTACCTCTAACCCAGGCTCACACTTGACACTCGCTCTGGGGCTGCCAGTCAACAAATCCTCCTCACATGATTCTCTCTTCAACTCGTGATTTGATCTCCAATGAATGGTCATCCGACCTTCTAGTTTGTTGTGTGGAATTTTTTATGATTGGTGAATCTTAAGTATTCAATGAACTTCCTTTTTTTAGGACTCAATCACATAATATAGGGTAATCTATGAAGAACTGCATTTGTCACTGAACTATGTAATTGTGTCTTTTGTGTTTTTCTATGTTTAGAGAACCCTAACACACCATTTTATAGGTTTTAATTGATTAGAAATTTAATTAGGAACGTCTTGGACAAGTTTTAAAGAGTTTAGAAAAAAATTCGAACTTTGAAACATATATTTTACCGACTCTAGCATTCATTAAATCAATCAACGTATCAATCAAAGCTTTTTGGAGTTGGTTCGATTGATCATCATATCAATTGAAGTCGCAATTCAGGTTCGATCAATCAAAATTTCCTACCAAACCTAATTACATATAACTTGACCACAAACACTTCATTGAGGAGTCAAATGGACTCAAAATTAGGCATAAAATATATTGTTGAAAAGTTTATCGAGCTAAGTTTTTGAATATATAAAGCTCATTACGAGATTCCAAGTGTTTTATTACTAATCACTTTTTGAAGACAAAAGTAAGTTTTCACAACTTAAAATCCTTATCAAAATGAATATTTAGATTGGTTTTCAACTTAAACTCAAAATCTAAACCAACTTTTAAAACCCATTCCTAATTAAACAATTGTCAATTCAACACTTTATAATTATAACTAGTAATAATTAACTCCAAATTAATTCAAGTTTCCTAATTTAATTTAAGCCAATTTTAACCAAAATTTTAAAATCAATTGGGACATTCTAGACCACTTTCATTATTAATTAATCACCAATCTTTATATTGTGTGATTGATGAAGCATGAAGTAAGATCTTGCCAATCCGATCTTTCTGCCCATCCTTCAATCTCCAATCACATATCCAATGTCGACCTAACCTTCAACTGAAGTGACACAACAGTGTAAACCAAGACACAACTTTTGCTCACAGAATAAGTCAACACATGACACTCTTTCCTAACATGTTAAATAAAAATAGGCCACGTTCAAATAACGAGATAGTAGTAATAGTTAGCTTCTACCCTTGCAGATAACTTTTGTTCTTGCCATAATCAAATTTCTCACGACAACGTTTAAAAAGGAATGTGGTGGAAGGCTGGGCATATGGATGGAAAATATCAACAAAAGGCACTTAATAGACTCAGATTTTGATTTCACTAACCAAAAATATCTTTCTTTTACAAAGTTGATCAGTACACTAACACTCTAGAGAACTATAACAAGCGTATAGAAAGGATAAACATCATCAACAAATATGCAAAGTAAGGACTAGAGACAAGACCCACACAATTTTCAAATCAGTATACAAAACAGAGATAAATCCTCATAGAAACATTTTTTCTCTTGTATTATAATCATCGTAAACCGATAATGAACCATACTTCTCAGAGCAAATGACAGATTCACATAATCCAAATTAACTAGGTGACAAGAAACTGTTAGATGAGCGTACAAAACTTGCAATGGATGTTGCATTGCACAAGAAAAACAATTTCTTGAAAGAGGAGGGGAGATACATAATAAATTTATTGCATACCTTCTATATGCAATATGAATAATAAATTTACCCACCAAGAAAGTGGGGGAAACATAATAAACACCTCTTCACAAATAGCAATTTCTTGAAAACAAAATTATAATAACTAAAATGCAGACAGAAGTAACAGGGACTGCTAACCGATGGTCAGAAATAAATACCAAAGAAAATATCTAATCAATGACTGAAGACAAACACTGTAAAAATAGCATGAGCTGTTTTCTAACTACTTATTCTCTAGCTTAGCCATTATTATCTCATGGAGTCCCGACAATCGTCAACATTCTCTAGACTAGTGAATCAAAGTTACTACTCATCCGAGCACTATTTAGAAGGAGTGCATTAGGAAATAAGAACAGGCGCATAAAGGGAAACAACAGATATATGACATGAAAGGCAGCAAAAAGCAAAACTATTTCATTCCAAGATCACTAAGCTGCAAGAAAATACAGTAAAAGCTCAAACCAGTTGAGACATTCTGTCTTTGACTGCCATGGCTAAGGATTTTCTTTCTTTCTTTCTTTCTTTCAATTACATCAACCCACCAAACCATGCAATAATCCCAAATTCTATGAAAATCCCTTGCCTAGCTTCTGGATTGCACAGTACATTTTTCGCCGTGAACCAACCGCATTTATTCCCATATCCTTGAGATCCTCCAATGTTAACATGGGCAGCACCTCATCATCCACCTCATGTATCTCAAAAACCGGAGCGTACCGTCCTAAACCTAATTGATTCAGCCAAACTCTCACCCCATCTCTCTCGGAATTACCATTCCAGTTCCTCCTCGCCTCTGTATCCGACGGACCGTCCAATTCAACCCCGTCATCATGATGCCCTCTACCCTCGGAAACCCTAGCTGCCCTAACCCCTCTCCTATGGCCATGCCCATGCCCTCTATCAGCCGCCATGTTGTTATTCAACGAATGAATTGGACTGATCTGCTCTTTCAACGGACTCTCCAGACCCTCCGGATCAAAATCCCTAATAAACCCACCATTATCATCATCATCATCCTCATCGTCATCATCATCGATGTCTTCGCCACCGCTAAACTTTTCGTCCCCTCCACCGCTGCCGCCACCGCCCTCGTCCACCTTTGAGACCCAACTGGACCTCACTCGCTTCGTCGGAACCAGACCTCTCTTCGACTTGGAGTCCTTCACTTTCCAGCTCCCAATAGCAACACTGTCCAGATTACCCTCTCTGTCTTCGCCGTCTAGAGGGTTTTCGTGATAGTCTCCTCCGCCACCAGCGCTCAAATTCATCAATGCTCGTGTCTTCGAAGCCTTGCCGGACTCCTTCATCGGAAGCTTCCATTGCTTGCTTCTTCGATTGACGTGCGAATCGTACTGTTGATCACCGATGTCCCCCAATCGGACGCTCGGCCTTCGCTGCCGTTTCGTACCAACGTTCTCTGATGAAGTCACCATCAAATTAGTTCCGCCGTTAATCTGACCCTCCGGTGGCTGTAGAAGCTCCGCCATTTCGGTGGTGCTGGACCGTAAGAAACAACAACAGATCCGATTTGTCTAGGGTTCCGGGGAATGAGATATATATATTGATATATATATATATATATATATATATATGTTTAAGTGAAAAAAAGAAAATCTAACGGTGAGGACAAGGAAAGGCCTTTTTGGTACTCCTTTTATTCTTGTTCAGATAGGGAGAGTTGAGAGAAGTGAAGGGATGAAGTGATGAAGTGAAGAAGAGAGAGAATCGAAGCGTTTAGAGAGAGAAAGGGTGAGAGTCTGTCTAATCAATGTGTTGTTGAGTTGGAGCACACGTGTACCCGTTCGTCGTGAGACGAAATTATTTTTAGTGCCAGAGGAACTCTTGGGTAAGTGAACGTCCACAGCGCCCTTACCTTCTTAACGTCATCCAATGGGAAAAATTTAATTTTTTAATACTTTCGAAAGCGTAATTATGAATAGGGTAAATTACATTTAACCCCTCTGAAATTTGAATAAATATCACATAACTAAATCGATCAGCTTTTAATATTTTTAACCTCTTGTACATGTGCCAAATGACGACGTCCTGCCATTTATTTTCCCACAAAATTGTTATCGGTATAACAATTTATTGTAATTATTCAGTATAATTTTTTTTTTTAATTTTCTTTTTTTTTACTATATGTAATAAAATACTTAAAAATAACCCAAAAGCACTTTGACCCAAATGTACACTTGTTCGATCCATGAACTATTTTGATTCAAAGAGAGAATTTAATTTTTGATTACTTTCCAAGGCATAAGTATGAATAAGGTAAATTACATTTACTCCCTCCGAAATTTGAATAAATATCACATAAATAAATGGATCAGCTTTTATTACTTTTAACCTTCCACATGTGCTGTGGAATTTTTCGATATTATTATTCGTTTTCGCTATGAGTAGTGATACTTTCACTGAACACGTGCACTGCGTTGAAATAAAACCAAAAAAAAAAAAAAATCTAATGCACTTTGACCAAAATGTACACTTGTCCTTCATATATGACTATTTTGATTCAATTGGGTCCCTCTCTTTTCTCTGGCAAGAACTGAGAAGGCAACGCTCATGTACGACGAAAAGCGGAGTTTTGAGAGCAATAGAGGCTTGTTTTTGCTGTTGATGGTCAATGCCTTCATCTTCTCTTTCAAGCCATGGTCATGCTAATGCCCAATGTGGTTTTGTGATCTTGATTTGACTCATTTTGTTTTGGGTTGATGCTGATTTGAGACCAATTGATACAGACATTATCCATACATTGTTTATTTTCTAAGAGATCTACTAGAACTTTTTATTTATTTTTTTTTTCAGTCAATAAGTGCTTTAAATTTTTTCACTAAAGTTGTTTAATTTATATTTCAACAAGTTCAACAAAGCCTTTAGGGTGTGTTTGGATAGACAGGGGAGAAAAGAAAAGAAATGATAGTATTAGTTAGGAGAGAAAAGAAAAGAAATGATAGTAATAATTTCTATTCGTGTTTGGATAGATAGGAGAGAAAAGAAAAGAAATGGTAGTTATTCTTGTTTGGATAAGATAAAGGAGAGAAAAGAAAAGAAATGATAGTGACCAAATTACTGTCCTACCCTTTCATTACCACTTCACACATTTTCTGTATAACGATTTGTGGAGGGTATTTTTGGTATTACGAATTAATCACTTATACCACTATCCTTCTCTCCCTATCTTCTCAAATTAGGAGAGAAAGCAAATGAGGGATAGGGAGGGATAGCTATCCTTCCCTATCTCTCTCTATCCATTCTTTTCTCTCCACTTAAGCCATCCAAACACACTCTCACCCTATCCTTTCTTTTCTTTTCTCTCCCTATCCCTCCAAATCAACCCTACCAAACACACCCTTAACAAACAGGGCAAATTAGACTGAAGGTTGTGTGTGATTTTGGATAGTGATATAAGATTTAATACTTTGTTTATTTTTTCTTTTTTGTCATGAAGATGCAAGAAACTTCTCTCTCTATTAGGAAAGTTAATTTTTTATACTTCAATTAAATCCTTTACATTTCTTTCTTTCTTCTATTTATAGAAGTCTACCCTTACCCTAAAAATCCTTTGGTTCATTCTAAACCTTGGGAGAATATGGGCTTCATTCCTCCTAAACGGGCTTGGTCTCTTCTTGGGCCGATCTCTCGATCAAAACCGGCCTTGCTATTGGTCAAAACAGGCATTGAATGAGAGTCAGCGATCTGGAAGGTCGTTGGGCCTTTCTTTGGATTGATGGGCTAGGCTGGACTCGGCCTAGTGAGATTTTATTTCCCTTCATCTTCCCCCTTAACCTCTCTTTCATTTATGAGGGCGAGGTTAACGAGGGGACGTCATGATTGACGTGACGACTCGAAGCACTGATGTGAGGAGGATGGCGGCTTGCACGAAGATCCAAACTTTGAATTTGAAACCTAAGGCTTTATCATTGCATTGTGACGCTTTGGTTGATGTGATGGTCCTCTATAAAACCATTGGTTCGCACCTTCAAGCCTTTCTTCTTTCTTCCTCATCTCATATCCAGGCATTCAATCTTTCTATTTTTATCCATCATCGAGGAAATCCTTCTCCGGTGAGTCTTCTAAAGAAATTTCTCCTTCTTAACACTCTGTAGTGACCTCTTTGAATCCATTCCTTAAGAAATTGCTTTATGGACTATTTGGCAAGAAAGAAATGGAAGGTTGCATGGTCATTTATCTAGGAAACCACAAGATACTGCTAAACAAATTTTATTTGAAGTACTTGATATCTACAATGTTGCTATTCAAGATCTTCTTAAATAGTTGCTTGTTATTTTACTTTTTGATTGAATTTTTCATTTCAGAATTATTTTTTCAATTCTTCTCTGAGGGTATGCCCTCTATGCGCCGATAAATATCTTTTTTTATCTTTATACAAAATCCAATTATGAAAAAAAAAGAACTTGGTTGCATTCCCTTCCTCCAAATTCTATAGTTACATGGGAGATGTAACAACAAGAGTTCTTGAAAAAGTACTACATAGTTGGTAAAACTTGTCAAATGAGAAGAGAAATCATGGTGTTTTCCCAAATCTCGGGAGAACAGTTCCATGATGCTTGGGAGAGATATAATGATCTTCTAAGAAAGTGTCCACACCATGGTATTGCATAATGGCACTTAATACAGATTTTCTATGATAGTCCCTCCGATTCTTATAGAAACATAGTTGATGCTTTTAGTAATGGAGCTTTTCTGCGTAAGAGTCCAGCTGACGCTTGGGAACTGTTTGAGGCCCTAAGTGAAAATTCAATGCAACATGCGTCTTCCTCTAGGTCTAGGTCTTCACCTGGAATGCATAAAGTTGAAAAATTCTTTAAGGTAGACAAATCTAATGAATTAGCTGCTCAAATAGAAGCATTGAACCGCAGGTTTGATCAAATTTTATCATCTGGCTTTGCTCTTGTTGTTAGTCCACAAACTGCCTTGCCAAAGGAAGTTTGTTCAATCTGTGCTAATCCTTCCCATTTTGCTGACACTTGCCCTATGATGGGACAATCATCTGAGATCCCACAGGAGTAAGTGAATGCTGCATTCTCTAGACCAGCATACAATCCATATTCTTCTACATATAATCCTGGCTAGAGAGATCATCCTAATTTATCATGGCGTAACCAAAGTCAAGGAACCACTGCTCCCCAATCTCAGGGATAGTATCAAAATTCATCCAATCCTATACCATAAAATAATTCTTTTAACAAATCTGGTATTTACCGTCCGGCTTAGTTTAAGAATCAACTTATTCAAGCTCCTACTCTTCCACCTCCTCCTAGAAATTCTGCTTTTGTGGATCAAGTCCTCAATGCTCTTGTTGATCTTTAAGCTAATACCCAACTTTTTAATTCTTATTCTCAAGCCATAGCAAAGCTAGAGGCACAAGTTGGGCAAATAACAAGTACTCTATCTCGAAAAGAGGATGGAAAGCTGCCTAGTCAGTCAATAGCCAACCCGAAATGGCAGACTTACATGATTGATGAAACCAATTCCTCAGGTATTCATCATGAGCAAGTTCAGGCTATCATTACATTGAGGAGTGGTAAAGTGGTTGACAATCAAGTTAAAAAAGGACAGGAAGAAAAAGAGAGGCTTATGATTCCCATTGTTCCTATCATTCATAATCCACATCCCAATGATGTTTCCTCAAGTTCCATTCCATAATCCACCACAGGAGTTGATGGTAGAGTCACTTCTTTATCTGCTCCTAATCTTGAGACAGCTTATGAGCCAAGAGCGCCTTATCCTGAATGTCTCAAGGAATCCTCGCACTTTGGTAAACAAGGGGAGAAAATTCAAGATATGATAGAGGTCTTTAAACAGGTCAAAATCAATCTTCCTCTGCTTGATGCAATAAAACAAATTCTCGCCTACTCCAAATTTTTAAAGGACTTGTGCACTCTTAAGAGGAAATCTAAAAGCTAAGTTCCTAAGAAAAATTATCTCACTGAGCAAGTCAGTGCTATTATTAAGTATGACACTCCTATTAAGGTTAAAGATCCTAGTGTTCCTACAATTTCTTGCATCATTGGAAACAATGTGATAGAGCGAGCACTTCTTGATCTTGGAGCAAGTGTTAATCTTGTTCCTTACTCAGTGTATAAGAAGTTAGGTTTGGGTGAATTAAAACCTATATCAGTTGTTCTACAGCTTGCTGACCATTCTATTAGACAACCACGAGGTATTGTTGAAGATGTACTCATAAAAGTGGACAAGTTCTTCTTTCCGGTCGATTTCTTAGTGCTTGATACAGAACCGGTTCACGATTCCAAAAAGTATATTCCAGTTATTCTTGGGTGTCCTTTTCTAGCCACAACGAATACTTGTATTAACTGTAGGACTGGAGCCATGGATTTATCTTTTGGATATATGAAAGTCAAGCTAAACATCTTCAATGCTATTCATCAACCCCACGATGATAGTGAATGCTTCTTCCTTGATGCTATTGATGAGTTGGTTAAGGAATCTCTCCCAACTATTTTATCCAAGGATCCTTTAGAAGCTTGCCTGAATCACTTCAATTATGAAGATTTTGATATCGAAGCTTCAATAGCTGAAGTGAATTCTTTGCTCAACTCCACTCCTATCACAGATTTTCCTCCATGAAAATCTAGATTAGAGCCTCTTCCACCACTTTCTAGTATTCTGCTTATTCCTTCTTTAGAGTCTCCACCTAAGCTTGAGTTTAAACCACTTCTAGACAAGCTCAAGTATGCTTTCTTGGGTTTAAATGACACCCTCCCAGTTATTATTGCTTCCAATCTTACAAGTTCCCAAGAAAAAAGTCTCTTAAAAGTTTTTGAGCAAAAT